AGATGTGACTTTTTGGTGTGTCAAAACACNCTCTAAAAACACNCTCTTTTTCCGACATGACATATTTGTACACGTGTACATCACTGTAACACGTTTTATTCAAGAACATTTGAGCTGGTTTCAGTCTTTAGCTCTTTCATTTTCATCTTATTTAAAATATAGTTAACTTGCTTGTTGATTAAATCTCATTTTGTTATTTAACCTCATTTTGTTATTTAACAGTCAAGCTGCATGTTAATTTGCTATAAAGAAAAGGAAATAATTATTTTTTTGCATGCTGAAATCGTGAATCTCTGTCTATATAATCACCTTGCAATTTTGAAATGTTAGCTTTTTTGCTTCGAGTATAGACTATTCAGTTCATAAGAGCAGTTCAATCTTTTATGAAGTTTGCTGTATAAATATAGAACATTTTGAAATATTTATAATTATCGGCCTATACATATTGGCTATCGGCCTCCAAGTCTGAAGAATTATCGGTTATCGATATCGGCCAAAAAAATCCATATTGGTGCATCCCTAAAAATAGTGAAAATACTTTTTACAGTACAAATAATTTCCTTCCCATGTTAATATAATAATAAAAATAATAATACTTTAATGTTTTGTGGCAAGTACAAGTATTGCTCACTAATAATAGCAAACAATACTTAAAATAAATACTTGCCATAAATAAATTACAAAACTTGTTACACTTAAAATAACAAACCCAATTTATTACTGAAATCTGTTATAAATTAAGTTTGTCAAACTTAATTCATTTAATTGTAACAAGTCAAAGTAATCTGTTTAAGCGTTCACTTTTTACGGTGTGCATTTGTTTCAAATTTAAATCATATATTTTCCTTCGGCTTAGTCTCTTTATTCATCAGGACTCACCACAGCGGAATGAACCACCAACTATTCCAGCATATGTTTTACGCAGTGAATGCCCTTCCAGCTGCAACCCAGTACTAGGGAATCACCCATACATACTGATTCTCTCTCTCACACACACACACACACACACACACATCTATGGCCAATTTAACTAAAGGAATTCACCTATGGCGCATGTGTTTGGACTGTGGGGGAAACCCAAGCACGCAGCGGAAACTAACACCAACATGGGGAGAACATGCAAACTCCACACAGAAACACCAACTCGAACCAGTTACCTTCTTGCTGTGAGGCAACAGTGAACTTTCGAAGACTATGTAGTTAATTTCAGATTAAACAATCCATTTATCCAAACAATAGGCAAATTCTGACACACACACACACACACACACACACACACACATATTGTGGAATCGTATTTCAGACAGTGCTGTCACATTTAGCAGAGGTCTGTCATCACTGTGGTTTATCAGACACACACACACACACCTTAGTTAAACTAAATACAGAGGGAAGGTGTTAAAGTTCAGCTGCTGGTTCACATGTCTGCAAAAACACAGCACTGAAACCACAACACACCAGCTTTAATATATATATACGTGTGTGTATAGAGAGACAAGTGGAATGAATGAATAAAGCATCAGAGATAGGAGACATTAATATAAAAAACAATAGGTAAATAAAGGAAATAAAAAAGAAACCAAAAGCAAACAGTGCATGTGGCGCAGACAGGGATGAGCTGAACAAAGCCTGGTCATTCATCAGGATAATAATATCTCTGCTCTCTGGAGGAGTAATAGACGGAGGTGTGACGGAAGCACAGCCATTAAAATAACCACCGCTATAAAAGAAAGAGCGCAGGGGATTCACACATTCATCTGGCCGAGCAGAAGAGGATCTGCATACAAAACCAAAGATTGAGAATTAATGAGAAATCTCCATCACTTAAAGCTTGGCACAAGATCATTCATTTTCCTTCAGCTCAGTCCTTTATTTATCAGCGGTCACCACAGCGGAATGAACCGCCAACTATTCCAGCACATGTTTTACGCAGCGGATGCCCTTCCAGCTGCAACCCAGTACTGAGAAACACCCATACTTGCTAAAACCAAGCACGCCATTGCTTTTCTTGTGAAATTCCCAATAAGTTTGATGTGTCACATGACCCTCTTCCTATTGAAAAAAAATAAAAGTTGGATCCAAGATGGCCGACTTCAAAATGGCCACCATGGTCACCACCCATCTTGAAAAGTTTGCCCCCTCACATATACTAATGTGCCACAAACAGGACGTTAATATCACCAACTATTCCCATTTTATTAAAGGGCCATGAAACCCCCTCGTTTCAGCAGGGTGTTTTCACACCTCTACTTTGGAAAAAGTCAGAAAAGTGGGCGTGTCCAGCTCTGTTTAGGGGGGAGTGTCGGAGGAAGAAAAGTGGGATGGTGTGGGAGTGTTTATTTGGGCACGCGCGAGGTTCAGAGTCAAAATACACACACACACAGGAGAAAGTGATGGTGTTTAACCTACATGGACATCTGTAGTGAATTATTTGCCAAATTATTAAATGGTGGACTTTAACTGCAGTTTGGCTCTTTCATTCAGAGAATTCATTCATGTCCCTCGTGACAAACGAGATATTTGATTCGAGGATCTGCTCTCAGCGTGTATTTTTCATGCAATGTTTGATACCGCACGGCGAATGAGAGAAAAAAAACCTCAGCATTTCCCAGAAACTTAGATGCAC